CTTTATGGAAATAAAGTGGGTTTGAATAACCAACCTTTCTGTTAGCAGCCCAACTCTTAACCCACCACACCACCAGGGCTCCTTAGGCTAAGGTGTTGAACTACAAAGTCAGTTTGAACCGCACCCACGAGTTGCTCTTTGGAAACTCTATATAGGATCACTATGGGTTAGAATCAACTCAACTGTACTTAACAACCACAATTCACTGTGTAAATAACAAAGATGAACTCCTTTTACCCATACCTCGATAATATTGCAACACAAATAATCTCACCCAATGGTGAGATGGGGAGTGTGGTGGCTCAGTAGGATGAGCATAGGACTGCGAACCAGAAGTTCAGAGGTCTGAGCTTACCAGCTCAAACCTAGAAAGATTTCTCCAAACTAGAAGATGAGACTTTCTGCTCCCACAAAGACTGGCAGCTTTGGAAACCCTATACAGGACTGCTATGAGTTGGAAACAATTCCATGGCACTTAACAATAGCCTTCAGGGATGGAATCCAATAACTAATAAGAATTCCTGCAGATATTCATCCCTAAATTATTACATCACGTCTGCTAATTACCAAGTGCTACAAAGGGGCTTTCAAAAAGTTTATGGAAAAATTCCATTTCTTCCCCATAAACTAGTTCTAGTTCTTTTTCTATAGGAATACCAGTCTGGCAATGGTGACAGATAATAACATAGTAGATTAAAACACTGATCATTATTTTTACAGACGCTATCAATAAATTGTATGAAATTAGCACAAACATACAAGTGGTATTATTTACTTGGCCAAAAATTCAATTGTTCCAATTCTTACAAACATGTAGGTGAGTAACTCTATACTGAAAATATTCAACAAGGTTAACTTCAAAGAAAAATTTCACTTTCACTTGTAAAATGAAAGTAGGGGAGAAGGAGAGAATGTAAAACAAAAGAGAACTTGCTCAGTTGATTTTCCTCTTAATGATTCTTTTAACTCTTCCTGTGAGATTGTACTCCTTATCTAAGAAATATAAAACCCAAACCTGTTCCCCTCAAGTCAATTCTGACTCATTTGAACGTGTAAGGATAGAGTAGAAATGCTCAATATGGTCTCCAAGGCAGCTAATTCTTATGGAAGCAAACTGCCACCTTACTTTTATGGAGCAGTTAGTGGGTTCAAACCACCAACAGTTAGCAACTAAGTGTTTAAACCACTGTGCCACCAGGACTCAGTACACAGGAATATTGTTAAGTGCTGATGAACTGGTTCGCACTCCAAGTAACCCTGCAGTTTTTTCAAGGAGCGGCTGGTGGGTTTGCACCGCCAACCTTTTGGTTAGCAGTCCAGTGTTTATCCTACAGTACCACATCAGGACTCCACACAGGAATATTGTTGTTAAGCGCTGTCATGTCAGTTCCGAAGAGCAGCTGGTGGGTTTGAACTACTGACCTTATGGTTAGTAGTCCTGAGCTTATCTCACAGTGCCACACCAGGACTCCACAGAGAAATGTTTCTGAAGAGCAGCTAGTGAGCTTGAACCACCAACTTTGCAGTTCAAACTGACTTTGAAGTCCAGGGATATAACAATCAGAAAACATACCTAGCTTATGTATTAGTAAATAAAAACCGGTGAATGTGAAGAAATAAGGATGCTGTCAACAGGAGACTTCCTTGACTCCAAATTACTCATCCAGAAAACTGATCTTTCTGGTAGGCACTGGTGGAGAAATGACTTTATCTTCTAAACCAATTGAAAGCAGACACCGCAGCAGAGATCCACCCAATTCTTGGGATTGTTTAGTGCATGATGGGACATGTAGTTTTTAGGGAAGCACATCAATTTGAAAAGGGAAAGAACACCTTCAGTGGGAAATGGAGGGGAGAGGGGGAGAACTGCTTTAATCTGAAAGTTTGTCCAGCAATTCACTTCATGTTAACTTCTGTAGTTAAAGTATCACCAACCCAGTTTTGATATAACTTCATAAAGACATTCTAATTCCAGTGATACTCTCCTCTGACCAATCCCCAAAGTTAACAGCATAATTATACAACCTGGAAAATTTTTTTCTAATGAAGAATTATGAGTTCTAGAGATCTTTAAAAACCACCTTTAATGTTTACTCAGTTCTACTGGTTAGTCACTTTAGTAACAAAATTTGCTTCCTCTAGCACATTCTTTTGATACAGGTGGTCTTTACTACAGAGCTCCTAGTGTAACTAACCCTCAACAAATCATCAGCTGAGTCCTGAGGAGTGAAAAAGAGTTAGAAGCAAGTAAAAATTATACCAAACCTTCCTTTACTGATACTTTTAAACACAGATAGTTTTTGACTAACAGTCATTGTGACACAAAGAGAAAATTAAGTGTAATTATCATGGAAACTGTCCCACACTTTAAGATAAATCGTTATTTGTTGTGGTCATGATTTGGGTTAAAGACAAACAAAAACAGTCAGGTTTACTGGTCCAGAGTCCCTTTTGCTCTCCTTTCTCCTATTTCCCAGTCAGATTTTTATTTCCAGTTAGACATTTACACCTTTGCTCAATCAAATCACTCTGAAAGGGATTCTTCTACAACAATGGTTACTTTTTCGTTTGAGTTTTTTTTGGCAATTTTCAGAAACCCTAATTCAAGGTGATAATTTGGATAGATACGAATATACTTACTCTTGTTCACCTACTCTTTTTGACAAAGAACTCATCTGGTGCTGAGAAATAAGTGATCTGTTTAATGTGTAGCATGTACACCATCCGACGGACAAAATTAACAACCTTTCTTAAGAAAGCACTTAGGACCATTCTGCAGCCATTGAGTGACCTTGGCTAGAAACCAGTGGTAGGGGAGTGGGGCAAGAAGAAAGGAAATACCCTGGGGGCTCAGCTCGGGGAGAAATGTTCGTTCACTTCAAGGAAAAGGCCTTGGGAAGTCTCGTTTGTAGACTGGAAAACTTCACCCAGGAACTGTAAAGACATAGCAGAGTTGGGGCGGGGGGGCTGCGAATAATTAAACCTTCTGCAAATAGGAAGTGAGGCCACAGCACCGCGGAAAGGATGTGGCCCTGAGTGTGGAAGGAGGCCTTCGGGTTTTCCTTCCCTCGCTGCCAGGCGATCAGCACCGACTTCTGGCCTCTCAATCAGGCAGCTCCGGCTCCCCCGGGTGGGGAAACTGCGGCAGCAGCCAAGGCCCACTGGAATGGTGGAGGACACCGGTGCTGCCTAGGCCTAACAGTTTCAGCGCCTCTGCCCACCGGCCTCCCTCCCCCGCCTCGCCATCATGGCCTTACCAGGGGGCAAAAAACTCGACGAGCATGAGGCCCGCAGAGCCCGTGTCGGAGACGCGACTCTCGAAGTTCTCGTCGGTGAGTTCCAGTACATCGGAGGCAGCGGCGAAGCGGGCTGCGGCGAGAAGCAGCGCCACGGCCGGGAACAGCGCTAAGCGGTGGAGGCGCATGGCGGCGCGGTGAGGCAGGGGGCAGCCAGGAGGGTCGGGGCTCGGCAGGGACTGCGGAGGTCGGACCGGCAACCACACACCCTCAACCTGCGTTCGCGCGTCTGGCCCAGGCGGACCTGCACCCGGAGGTCCCAACCCCCAAGCCCGGCTCGGGCCGCAGTGTGGCACCGACCGATTGGCTGCGCGGCGCCTGCGTCGAGCGGGCGGGACCAGCTGATAACCGCCGAGTGGACGGAGCGCGGGGCGGGGCCGAAGCGGCTAGCGCCGGGGAGAGCGGGACTGGGCTGGGGGCCCTTTGAAAGTGGGTTGGGGGCGAGCAGAGCCAGGGGTCTGGCGGAGAGGGGTTGAAGGTGGGACACAGACTGGCGGCGGCACAGCCGTGAGCTCTTCCGGTGTGGGGGAAGCCGAGCTCAGGGACGCCAGAACGGGAGGCGCAGGAGTGAAGTCAGAGCAGGGTGGGCGGAAGAGAGCTTGGGCTGACGTGAGGCCCAGAAACGAAAATTCAGAGGGAGCTGTACCCTGAGAAAAAGTCGAAGTGAATACACACTTGAGATGGGAAACATTTTCAAAATGTCAACCATTCATACAAGCTGTTGTATTTTGTCCACTTCCCCTTAACTTGATTTTTCTCCGGGGCAGCTCTAAGACCTCCCACCGTCCCACCTCATTGCTTGAGTCCCTTAAATTAAGGTAGGGCTGGGATTCCTTTGTCCAGCTCCTGGGCTCCCACCCTTGTGTCTGATGCTTTTGAGTTTTTAGTTAGAAATGTCACGACTCCAATCTCCATTTGTTTCAAAAACCTTGAGTCTTAGTACAATGTATCTGTTTTTCCTTAATCAAACCAAACCCACTGCCCTATAATCTGTTCTTCTCAGACTTGTTGTGAAGTGCCTTAGAGTCGGTTCCAACCCATAATGAGCCTGTATAGGGTTTCCGAGGAGCAGCTGGTGAGCTTGAACTGCCGACCTTGCACTTCAAACTGCTTTGCAGTCTGACGCATTAACCCACAGCCGCCACACCAGGACTCCCTAGTCTGTTCTTCCCAGACTAGATGCTCCTAATTCCTAATTATGGGAGTCCCGGTGGCGCAGTGGTTAAGTACTCGGCTGCTAAATTTAAGATTGGCGTTTCAAACCCAAGCAGCAGTTTTGCTGGAGATCTGTTTTCTTAAAGACTAAACCAAACCAAAAACCCATTGCCATAACCACTTGCCAAGCTCTTGTCCACTGCACCACTAAGGGTCCTCAAAGATTATAGCTGAGAAAGCCCTATGGGGAAGTTCTACCTTATAGAGCAGTTGTACTCTATTTATAGGATCAGCACTAGACTATGAATCAAATGTTGGCAGTTCAAACCCACCAGCTGCTCCTTGGAAACCCTTTATAGGGTGACTATGAGAACCGACTTCAACAGCACTTTACTACATTGGGTTCCTATGCATCAAAAGCCACTCAAGATCACTAACAACATCTCTTTAAGAGAAAAGAGCATGGGGAGGAGGGGAGAAAATAAACTCTATTCCTTGGTACAGCTCTGGGAGTTAAGTGATACTTGATTCTCCATTTTCTTGACAGACATGGACACTTACCATCCAACAAAGCATGTGCAGTTGCTCCGGGCCGATGCCATTCGGTCCCGTCTTGTTGATACCTTCTCTCTCATCGAGCATTTGCAAGGCTTGAGCCAAGCTGTCCCACGGTACACCGTCTACGAGTTATTTGGTCAGCAGCCTATTTCTTCACAAGGCTAAATTTAGGTCCTGGTGTGACCCTGTAGGTTATTCACTATATTGCTAACCACAAGGTTGGCAGTTCAAACCCACCAGCCACTCCTTGGAAACCCTATACAGGTCACTATGAGTTGAAGCCAACTTGAGGCACTTAACAACAACATCCATGCACTCTCTAAAAAGTAGGAAGCAGAGAGACAAATTTAAGGGTGGAAAATTCAGGGAGGTTGCTAGTTTAGAAGTTACAGTAAACTTGCTAAATCAAGGGCTTTATAAATAAAATTCTTTGAATTCAGAAGATGGTACCCATGTCACTCATTTTTAGGCATGGTATAGCTACTAGCCTTGCTGACTTGGAAGAATTTCTACCAAAGACACATGAAACTTGTGTGTTGAACCTGCTGCCTTTATTTTTAGGCATGGGCAGTACTGGTCATCCACCACTCATCTGCAGTTTGTTGTACTATGGTGGCCTACAGGTTGCTGTGATGTTAGAAGCTATATCATCTGTATTTGAAATACCATCAGCGTTACCTGTGGTAGAGAGGTTTCAGTGGAGCTTCCAGACTAAGACAGACTAGAAGGAAGAAGAAGCAGACTAGTTCTAAATGGTTATATGAATAGCAAACATTGTTAGACAATGTGCCAAAAGATGAGTACCTCAGGTTGGGAGGCACTCAAAATACGACTGGGGAAGAGCTGAAGCCTCCTCAAAGTATAGTTGACCATAATGACGTGAATGGAGAAAAGTTTTCATGCCCTCTACATACTGATTAGGGTACAACTTAGAATGAAAAGAAACAGCTGCAAACATATATTAATAATTGGGCAATGGAATGTACAAAGTATTGCATCTAGGAAAATTGGAAGTTGTCAAAATTAAATGGAATGCATAAACATCGATATCCTAGATATTAATGACCTGAAATGAACTGGTATTGGCCATTTTTAATCTGACAATTATTTGGCTTACTATGCCGAAAATGACAAATACAAGATGAATGATGTATTTGTCAAATTCATCGTCAAAAAATAACATTTTAAGATTTATCTTGAAGTATCATGCTGCCTGTGATAGGATAATGTCCTTATGCCTACAAGGAAGACCAGTTAATACCACTATTACTCAAATGTATGCACCCATCAGTCAAGTCAGTGATAATGAAATTGAAGAGTTCTACCAACTTCTTCAGTCTGAAATGGATCAAACATACAATTAAGATGCATTGATAATTACTGGTGATTGGAATTTGAAAGTTGGAAACCAAGAAGAAGGATCAGTAGTTGGAAAATAAGTCCTTGGTGACAGAAATTATGCTGGATATTGCATGATAGAATTTTGCAAGACTAATGACTTTTACATTGCAAATACCTTTTCTAAACAACATAAATGGTGATGGTACACATGGACCTCACCAGATACTATACATAGGAACCAAATTGACTATATCTGTAGAAAGATTGTGGAAAAACTCATTATCATTAGCCAAAACAAGGCTAGAGGCAGACTGTGAAACAGACCATTAATTGTTTATATACAAGTTCAAGCTGAAGTTGAAAAGAGTTAAAACAAGTCCACAAGAACCAAAATATGACCTTGAATATATTCCACCTGAATAGAGACCATCTCAAGAAGAGATTTGATGCATTTGATACTAATGACCGAAGACCACAAGAGTTATCAAATGCTATCAAGAACATCATCCATGAAGAAAGCAAAAGGTCATCCATTAAAAAGACAGGAAATAAGGAAAAGATCAAAATGGATATCAGAAGAGACTCTGAAACTTGCTCTTAAACTTAGAGAAGCTAAAGCAAATGGAAGAAAAGGTGAAGTACAAGAGCTGAACAGAAAATGTCAAAGGGCGGCTTGAGAAGAAGAGAAAGTTGAGTATTATAATAAATTGTGCAAAGACCAGGAGCTAGAAAGCCCCAAACGGAAGAACACGCTTATAATTTCTCAAGCTGAAAGAACTAAAGAATTATTCAAGCCTCAACTAGTGAAATATGGGCAATGTGAAATAATGCACTGGACTGCATGGTCGGCGGTTCACCAGTTGCTCTATAGAAACTGTCAGGGTTGCTGTGAGTTGGAACTGACTCTACGGCACTTAGCAATAACAACAATTGGCAAAATATTGAAAGATGCAGCATCAAAAGAAAAGGAAAGGAACAAACAGAGTCAGTATACCAAAAAGAAATGGTAGATGTTCAACCACTTATGAGGTAGTATGTAATCAAGAACCAATGGTAATGAAAGAAAAAGTCCAAGCTGCAATGAAGGCAAAACACACAGCTCCAGGAATTGATGGAATACAAATTGAAATCTTTCAATAAACTGATGCAGCACTAGAGGCTCATTCATCCATGTCAAGAAGTTTGAAAGACAGCTATCTGGCTAACTGAATGGAAGTAATCCATATTATGTCCACTCCAAAGAGAGTTGACCCAATGGAATACAGAAATCATTGAACAATATTAATATCACATGTAAATAGAATTTTGCTGAAGAAAGTACAAAAAGCAATAGTACGTTGAGAGGGAATTACCAAAAATTCAAGCTGTGTTCAAAAGAGGATATAGAACTAGGTATCACATTTCTCACATCAGATGGATCTTGACTAAAAGTAGAGAATACCAGAAAGATGTTTACTTGTGCTTTATTGACTATGCAAAGGCTCTCCGCTGTTTAGATAATGACAAACTATGGATAACACTGTGAAGAATGGGTATTCCAGAACACTTAATTGTGCTTATGAGGAACCTGTACATAGCCCAAGGGGATACTGAGTAGTTTAAAATAAGGAAGCGTTTTCCAGGGTTGTGTCCTTTCACCATACTTATTCAACATGTATGCTGAGCAAATAATCTGAGAAGCTAGATTATATGAAGAAGAACATGGCATCAGGATTGGAAGAAGACTCATTAACAACCTGCAGTATGCAGATGACACAACCTTGCTTGCTGGAATCAAAGAGGGCTTAAAATACTTTGATGAAGATCAAAGATGACAGCCTTCAATATGGATTGCACCTCAATCCTTACAAAACAAAAATCCTTACAACTGAACCAATAAATAACATGAAAAATGGAGAAAAGACTAAAGTTGTCAAAGACTTCATTTTGCTTGAATCCACAATCAATACTCATGGAAGCAGTCATCAAGAAATTAAATGACATATTGCATTTAGGCAAATCTGCTGCAAAAGACCTTCTTAGAATTATATATATATCAGTTGTAGGACTAAGGTGCACCTGGTATTTTCAATCACCTGATATGTGAAAGTTAGACAGTAAAGGAAGATCATAGATGAGTCAATGCATTTGAATTGTGATGTTGAAGAGTATTGAAAGTGCCATAGATTGCCCAAAGAACAAATAAATCTGTCTTGGACGAAGTACAGCTAGAATGCTCCATAGAAGCCAGGATGGTGAAACTTTGTCTCTCGTACTTTGGACATGTTATCAAGAGGAGCCAGTCCCTGGAAAAGGGCATCATGCATGGTAAAATGGAGAGTTGGGAAAAAGGAAGACCCTCTAGGAGATGGATGGACACAGTGGCAAAACAATGGGCTTAAATGAAACAACAATTGTAAGGATGATGCAGGACCAGGTGGTATTGGGTTCTGTTGTGCATAGGGGTGCTATGAATAAGAACTGACTTGATGGCACTCAGCAACAACAACCAGTTTTGGTCATAAGCAATACATTTGCTTTCACTCCAAACTATGAGGGTTCTCACAGCTTTGAAGAACAACAGCAAGGCAAGTCCCTGCACTAGGGGACCCATTAACCAGTATTTCTGTCCCCTGGAGCCCTTGAGTGATGTAAATAGTTGGAGTCCATCCAGAGGCACCTAAGAAGAAAGACCTAGTGATCTATTTCCAAAAAATCAGCCATTAAAAATCCACTGGATGGATAAACAAACTGTGGTACATACACACAATTGAATACTATGCTACCTTGAAGAACAACAAGGAAGCTGCAAGCCACCACAAAACATGGATGAACCTTAAGGACATTATGCTGAGTGAAATTAGTCACAAAAGGAGAAATACTGCATAAGACCATTATTGTAAAAGACTAAGAAAAAGAGCCCACTCAAAAGGGGAAAAAATCCCAAAAAACGATAATAGCAGATCACCAGGATGTATGGGATGAGAGGAGGGGAAGGAGGGAAGGGAAGATAGAGCACAG